CCTTAACCAAGTCGTTCAAGTTGGCTATTGGCCAACTTCATCGATTATGACTTAAGATCGCTTAGAACTTCTGACTTGCGGCTTATTGTAGAAGGCCTAGTACATTTAAAAATCAGTAGTCGCATTGAAATTTCTTTAGATAAACCTGCACACTCGCACTAACAATATATGTACACAAAAGTCAACTACTCATATGTTTAATATAAAAAAATATAAAGTAATGATAACATTGATAACAATTTATATACCATTTATTTTCTTTTCATTTTATCATACATTTGGCATGAAAGATTTAGCATCTTTTAAAATATAATAAATAATAGGGGTAACAAGCCTTGTTGGATGTTCCTTGCTAACAATTCAATTTAATATTTAAAATTAATAATAAGACAAAACATTTTCAACCCATTATCGGGTCATTCTTAATGTGTAAAAAATTACAGTGTAATACGGTAAATTTTACGTCCGTTTTTTACAATTCTTTCTTACGCATCGTGTTGGTCAATCGGTGATGCAGCGTTGTCCATTAAAAAAAAAACTGATATAGTTTTCAACATTTGTAGATACTTATATTTGCTTGCTATATTTTCTTCTTGATTACTATTGTGCTGATTACGTGAGTGTAATCAGTAACAATAGAGAGAAACGTTGCAATTTTGAAGCTAGATATAATTAATTAAAAGTCTGCGTGACAATATTAGTATCTAATAAAATAATGTAATACCTGGATATGAATGCCCGCAATTATATCATTAATAAGACCTCTTAAAACAGAGCTTTTATATAAAATTTGGCTGTTATCACTTAAGTATCACTTTTGTTGTTGGAATGAGAAACGAAAACGAGAGAGCAATTACGACAAAGGAAGGAGAAATGTAATAGGAGAGGATAACCATATGCATTAAGAAAATTATCCAATCACATTTCTGCCATAAAGACAAACGTAAACTACGATTGGATGATTTTCTTTATGCATATGTTCATGCGGCAATGCAAGTTTGTGTGGAATGGCCCTAAAGAGTGAAGTTTGTATATGTACACAACCCCTCTCTTTCTCTCTTTCGTGTCGCGTCGTGACGGGATGGACGACGCGACGCGTGACGCGCTCAGTAGAAACGTACCATAATACCTCGTCTGGGCTGCGTTCAGAATCATCACCCGAGTGCTCCCGCGTATCGTATTATCTTTGTTGTTCGCTCAGTGTTAAGGCCATTCTACATTGGTCGTATCGTAGCGTCGGAATCATCGTAACATCATACGACAAAAATTGAAGCATTGGATTGGCTGAAGCAACAAGCTTGTGACTTGCGACGTCTACGATACGACCAATGTAGAATGGCTTTTAAACAAGGATAAGATAATACACGGAGACACCCGGGTGATGTTTTTGAACGCAGTCTTGGTGCTGTATTATAAAGATGGATATTTCTAAAAAAGAAATGGATAAATTTGAATCTATTGAAATCTATATGTAACATCTCAATTTTATTTACAGAATACAGAGTAGGTACTAATTATAAATTACTGCATGAAATATAAGAATAGGGACTTTTTGCAATAACGTGAATCCAGATATAGGCCGGTATTCATAGTTGAGTCTTATTTCAAGACCGTCTTAAGTAATGTCTTAAGACTCTAATGCAGCCTTCTGATTGGTTCGTGACTCCTTAAGACCGTACTTAAGACGGTCTTGAATATAAGATCTGACTATGAATACCGGCCATAGTGAACGCTAAAGTCACGTTATCCTTTTCTTAAGTAGTTGTTAAAAAGAAGATACCTGACCTTAGCGTTCACCGTATTTGGAAAAATGGTATTGCAAAAACTCCCAAATATGTATACAATATGCTTCTATAATAATAATATTCCATATTAAATATAAAATTTTATATATAAATTATATATATGCTTATATTATTATGTATTACTTTACATTATTATTATTATATTATTTATATTTCGTGTAAACTTTATGTGAAACTATACAAGACCATAGCTCTGTTTGTGTTGCTTGCACTTTTTGCATCTTCTCTCTCTCTCTCTCTCTCTCTCTCTCTCTCTCTCTCTCTCTCTC